GCTTATATTGCAGATAGCTTGAATTGCCTTTGGCTGTTGTCTCTGGCCCAATTGTTTCAACAGATTGCATATTCTTGAAATTTACTTCAATTTCTCGTTATTTGACAAGTCAGTGTGTGTGTTTCTCACTCACATATCATATGAGTCACACGTAGTTTTTTAATGCTGTAAGCAAATTTCAATAAATGTCAATGGAGGATTCTTTGAAAAGTTTATTTTTGAGCAATCTTCAGTGAGTCAAAGTGATATTTTGATTGCCAACGTGATAGAGTGTTTGAGCTGAGAATTATTGGAATTGTGAAATGTTTTCGTTTGAAGTTCTCATCGAGATGTGCACTCCACTCGATTGTGGCTGCTTGTTAAAGGATTTGAGTCGGATTTCAGTTTCAGGGATTTCACTTCCGAACTGCAATGTTATTCATTGGCGGTAATCCACGAGCAGTTGATAGTACTTTAGAATATGATGACGAGCACCCATATATCACAGTTGCCGTAAAAGAACGATGGGATATCACGGTATTTCCAAATCTTTTATTTCCTTCTAATCATTTCATTAAATTTTTGTCATTTTTTAGAAAATGATAACATATGATCAAATATTCATGAATCAATGAGTGTTCTTAATTTTTGATATAATAGAACGCATCACTGTATTTAGCGACTTCAGCTCTTAGTCATAAAGCTCTAGTGTAAATCCCAGATTCAGTAGACCGTACCACTCAAATGCCTAGAAAAGTATATCTGATATCATTCTGAGAAGCTTTAAATGTTGAAGCCGTAAATGTATTTCTAAGCTTTAAATGTATTTCAGAAAGTTGTCCTCTGCGCTGTATTTCTGTACGCCATAACGTCGTTNTTAATCTTCCCAACTGTTGTTTTGGTTTATACGAAAATAGCACTGAAGGGTGATCAGCGGCGAAATCTCTGGTTTTGCATCTTTGCTGGCGTAAGTGATGTGTTTTTGGATTGTGTGTGTTTGTATTTTTTTGGAAAACAGAGACAGATCCAACTTCAAATATCAATTCATTGTTTGGAATTTGATATAAATCTTTCAGCTTCAAGCTCATTAAGTTTATTGAAACGCACAGAGTTCGAATGCAGAAAGCAATTATTGTTTGTAATTGTCGTTCTAAGTGCGTGCGATTTTTTGAAATTGATCTATGAGAACAAGGTGCAGAACCATCAAAGTGCACAGTTGAATCAAATGTGTTTACTGAAATTTGCCTGAAATACTGAAGTTTGGTTGTTTTTTTTTGTGTTTAAAAACCAAAACATATTCAATCTTGCTTTGTTGGTTGATATTATACCACTGTGATAAGCCGCGTGAATTCGGTGAAGTGTATCAATTTTTCGTAGATCTGCAAATCAACATGAATGAAAAGTTCATTGAATTCATTCAGTCTATTCAATTTATTCATTTACAATACGTACAAAGTGAGTTCAACTTGAGATAATACCATACACTCCCAGAGACCAGAATATGTGGCATTGCATGTCTTTTACAAGGCGAATGCACCTATAAATGTAAATCAATTTCAGTTTGCTGGTTTTGCACTGAAAATTTCGGCAATAATTGTTTTCGTCATAATGTTCCCGATCGGCAAAGAAGAACCGTCCAGATTCCGTGGTTCATCATCATTGAGGAAACTCATCAGTGTAACAGGTTAGCTGGCAATAGATTGCCAACCAATAACTTGACTTGGTTCAATCATTTGATTCTTTTATTTGTTTGATTCAACAAGTTCGGACGGATTGATTGATCATCGTTACATTGGTGGATGCACGAGGAAACTCGGAAAAACTACGATAAGCGATGAGACATCAGCTAAACTTTCGCTGTTCACTTGCATTGTTCTATGCACAAATATTATTCACGAACGAAATTTGCTTACGATTTCGTTTACAATTACTTGAAGTATGCTGAA